ACTGGGGGTCACCATTTAGGCACCAAGCCTTTACATAGCTTTCTGCTGACATTAAGTTAATTCGTGTGGGATTTAGGCTCCTAGGTGTTTTCATGCTGTCTGTCTGGAAACCTAACATGATTGCCTTGCGTTTATCTGGTTATTTGTTTGCTACTTTTTTTTTTAATGCTATTTTTCTTAAGATAATAATGATTACTTTATGACGGGTATAGGGGAGATAAGGCATTGCTTTGTCTGTGTGAGCCATGGTTTATTACGCCCAGAGAGAAGCTAGCACCAGACTATCTGTCTTTAGTTCTTTTGGGTGCTCTTAATTTGACTGCTTTGGGGAGGCATAGCCTAAACAAGGCATGAGCAGAATTGTTTAAATGATCTGAATGGGGTGAAAGGTTTAAATACAGTGCTCTGATACTTTAACCCACTAATTCAGAGAATGCTCAGTGCTATCAACTTAATTACAGCATTGCTGTCAGAAGGCAGTGGCTCTGTGGCAGGTTGGAAACTGGCAGCCTTTTTAGATATATCTGTCTAATGTATAAATCACAGTTTTTCCTTCTTCAAGACCCTTCTGTACTCATTGAGGAACAGTCAGAAACAAAGGGGGAAAGAGAGATTTGTAGGAATGGAAGTTCATCAGCTAAGAGAGCAGTTTCCTTCCTACCAGTGTGATGAAAGCAGAAAGCAAATGAGGAGAGATCTTTTCCTAATATTTTAGTTATAGTTATAATCCCCTTTTTTACAAATTTCTTCTCACAAAGATGGCAGTATTTTAGTTGCTAGGCTGCAGCATTGGGAAGCAGTCTTTTTCCCCATTGGCCTTGACTGCAATTGGTTTGCTTTTCTGCTTGTTGGGAGACATAAAGCTAGCTGATAGCAGGAGAGAAAAAGAGAGAGGCAAAGACAGGTAGCATTACCGTTTGAACACTCACTGCTTGCATTGACCTTTCTGAAAATTGGGCTACTGGAGAAGTCAGGCATGGGCATTTCAGAACAGCATGGTTGCAAGCAAGCACCATCACGCTAATGCAGATGGGCTCTGGGCTTCATGCCCTCCGTGAATAGGGAGGAATCTTTTCCTTCACTGTGACAAGGTGATGCCACATAAGGACATGCAAGTTCTGAAGTAGGGCATTGGCTGAGCAATTAACCATGCGAAGCCATTTGGTTTATGCTGTTGGACTGATGCTTCTCCTTCCTCAAATGGCTTTGCCTTTTTCCTCTGTTGAGAAAGCTTCTCTGGTGAGTTACATTGAAGCAACCCATCATACCGGAGGGAAGGGAGGAACTTGAGATAACTTCCACAACTTTGAAAATGAGGCTGTTTTTTCTTAAGAGAAATACGGATTCACTTAAGAGCTTTACTGGGTCTTGGAAACCATTTCCCTTCAACCAGTTCTGGATGCACATGAATGAGCCATAGAGGAGCTATATGAGCTAAGGTAAAATGTTTTGATGGCAAGTGCCCTTGATGAACTATTTCAAATATATCCTTGATGCTATTTCTTTCACTTCCTTGGGGCGAATGCAGTTTTCTCCATGGTTCTTCTTTCTTGAACATTTGCAGTTTCTGACAGTAACCTTCTCTGATAATTGCTCCTTGATTTCACTTTTTCCCAAATAGCTCTGTGCCTTGTCTATGTACATGTCCCCTTTTTTCCCTGTTTGATTGCTGCAGGCCATCCATCTTTCTTGCCCATACCCACTAAGAGTCACCTGTCTTTGTTGTGTTGTCTTTGTGCAGCTTTGAACTGTAAAGCAATGCTACTCATTCAATGATGTTACAAAGTATTTGTTACTCAGAAAGGAATGCAAACCTCCAGTGCCTTTGGGGTTTTATTCTCTTTTATTCTTTTACACAAATTAACTGAAAATCTCCACCATTTACTAAGCAGAACTTTCTGCTCTCCATTCATGTCCCTGTAAATCTCTTTGTATTTTGACCATGTCAAACTACCTTTTGTGTTTTCCCAATGGGTGATTTATTATTACATATTTTTCACTGTACTTCTGATTTATACTTTTTAAATAATTGTTACTTTTAAACTATAAACTTTTGTGTCTCTTTGGTGTAATTACTACAGAGACAGATAAAGTAGAACTGTTGCCTTTCTAGTGTGGCTTGGATTGTTTGCCCAGACTGAGGAGATGATCATGGAAAAACAGGTCTACTCAGTTGGGCTCCCATGTGAAGTTCTGAGTGGACCCTTTTGTATTTGATTAGTGTAAATATTAAGGTTTTTATGCTTATAAAAGCACCATTTTAATTTCCCTGAAAGCTGTTTTATCTTGTAGTGGTGAAAGGGACCACACACATGCTCTCATATGTGTCTTGGGTGTTCCAGACAGCATCCATTCCACTCAGGTTTGGCCTTTTTTTCCAGAGTAAAAAGTAAAGTGAAACTTCCAGTGTGTCCGGTGTTCAGAGAAATAAAACTGTCAGGAATACAAATGTTATCATGTACTGACTGTTAACTCAGGGTGTGTACTGAATGGAGCACACCCTGCATGCCCAGCTCCTAAGCCTTCCCACTCCGCTGTTATGACTGGTAAATTTGAAACCAAATACAAACCTGGAAAAAGATATGATGCTCCTGGAATTACTGGAATCTTTATGAAATTGCTTAATTGTATGCTATGCAGAGGTTCATTTCTGTTAGTAAATGCTTTGATGCAGACAGACCAAATGTGGTCTTGCATTCTCTACTAAGCATTTGGGAGGTGGTGTTTAGCAGCTGTTGATGATGGTGGTAATGTGCACTTTGTGCTGAGGACTTTGCCAAGGTACAGTTTGTTTGCTTCTCATTGACAACGTAGGCAGATAAGTGTAAGGAAGAGGGAAACTGGGAAATCATTAGACAAGGTGTTTGCCACCTCACTTGGCTTTCTGTGGACATGATAGCAGTGTTGTCCCTTTAGTGGTTCTTTGAATCACTCCTTTAGCTTGAAGTTCCTTAAAATAAATCTCATACTGAAATCAGATTTGGCCAATTCCAGTCATGTTCTACTGATGGAAAAAAAAAATCTGCTTGATAATACCAGTCTGTTCTTTGTGTTTCATTGCTGGCTACTTATCAGTTACTCTGTTCAGTTTAAATTCCCTGTTACCCAGTTCAACTGGTGTTAAATTCTGCCTGGCCTCTTACCCTGCCCTGTTGTGTCTCCTCCTATTGGTTGTGACATTCCTTAATGCAGAATTGTGGGACTACAAAGAGCAGGATTCTCTTTACCTCACCAGTATAAATGTTTCTGAGCTTCTGCAAGTGTAAGCAAGTTGAATTTTTAAAACTTGAAGAGAATATTATTTAAACCTTATTTTCCTTTTATGTGTCTCCCCTGCATTTTGGTCTATTGATCCTTTTGGGTTTTTTTCAAGTTGGGTTTATTCTGGAAAGTAAAATCAACTAGACCAGAGTGATACTCTATTGTGGTCAAAGCCTCCGCTTTGGTAATAGTTTTCATCAGAAAATGCATGATACTTTGCAGTGAAACATTGGGGGACAGCAACCCCTATGGAAACTTGTATTAAATGCCATTAGTTGGATGTTGGTATATCTGCATGTGTGGGTCGTACTGACTATCGTGGGGGTAGTGGACGTGTGAGTGTCTTATCCACTGCCATCATTTGAATTCTACTAATGATTAACCTGTTTTGATTGTTCTTCTCATTGAGTTTCACTGGATTGCCACGGTTCTGTGGAGGGCATTTCTTCGGTTGTCTGTTCCTTTTACAGTGACACCAAACATTAACCCTTTTTATAGTTTAGACGTTTTGCTGTTGCATATGGCTGTTTTGATGTTTATCCTGGTGTGTTGCGATCTGCAGAGGCCAGGCATGCAGGGCTTCTCCTGCCCTCTCAAAATGTTTAGTGAAGAAACATAGGAATTTTGGGTCAAATAAAAGAGCAAAGTTGTGTATGGAGAAAGGCTGAGGAAGGGTAAGGAGAAACATTTTGCTCTTGTAAATTTGCAAGGAAGACAGAAAGCTGGGCAGACTTGGTTGTATTTACAAGCAGCGCAAGTGTGGTTCTTGCTTGTTTATTAATTGGCTCTAGAGGTATTACAGATTATTGGAAACTCAAAGGTCAGGTTTTGCTGAATCAAGGTCTGTGTGAGCAGGAGAGCTACAGGAGAGTGCTTGTGCATCTGAGACACAGCTGATGTAGAAGAGCTGCCTTTAGAGGCTGGCTGACAAGTATAGTAAAATTAGCCTTTTAGCCCGGACCCTGTTCAAATCTGTGCCCTCCCTCCCTCAGGGTTTCGGTGGCTCCACTGAGACGCTCTCACTGTGTACACACACAGAGTTTCCTGAGCTTCAGTTAGCTTCACAAAGTACTTTCCTCTGTGTGATCACTAGCCAGGTAGGGGGGTGGAGGAAGGGCGTAACTAGTCCTTCGGTTTCTGTTTCACAGTATACCTAATGGTCCTGACTCTAAAAGGCTTTGGCAACAGACTACACAGGCTTTGTCACACCACTGAAGTTTTTACTGAACTGACTTAGCTGTGGCCAAGACTAGACAGCGTCTTACAGTTGCTTTGTTGACTGTTTCAAAGGTAGTATTAATGAGCAGATGTAAGAAATTCCATTAGGACTATACTGGTGTGTCCAGTTCTCTCGGCTCATACCGCATTTGCTTGTTCTGTGAACTGTCTTTTTTCTTTGTGGTTTACCTCTAAAGCCAGGTTCCTGGTTTGCTGGTTGGGCTCTTTTTTTATCCCTGCACTTGTAATTTCTCATCTCACTGCACTCTTTCTCACTCTTGCACAATTAAGGCTGCTGCAGTGCAATCCTACGTCATGGTCTAGCCAGTGCCAACAAGGCTGTTGTCATGGCCTCATTCTGTCCTCACGCCATGGTTAGTGTAATGTAATCATTACCTTGGTTCTGGAGAGTGAAGGTACTCCTGCTGAGTAAATGTTTACGAACACTGATGGATGCGAACATTAGGGAAGGGAGAAGCACTGTTTAAAATCTTGTTCCTTTCTTATTTATTTTAAAACAGAGCATGGCTCCTGAGAGAAGCAGCCAATGAGTATTTTTCCTTCACCAGACTGCGATCAGAGGTAAGTGCAAAATCTGTTGCATTTTTATATACTGACATCTTCAGATTTGGTAAGGGGAAGAACATACTTAAGTCCTTTTGAGTAGTCTCATGTCAAAATTAGAGGCAAGGAATTGGGTAGGTGGAGGTTAGACTTGTATGCTGCAGCATGAAGTTACGTTTCTCCTTCCTCTCCTTAGAATGATTTGCAGGGGAAACAGTTCCCTGTGTCTTGTTTCCAGGTGTGCAGTTGTCAGCATGAAGTGGCAGATAAGAGTTAATTTGTATCAGAAAGGAATTTTTGATGTAGTTCCTGAGTGAGATAGGACCAGGTGGTTACTTATTCCTAAATATTCCTTTATTTAAATGGAGTTACTACTTCCATACCTTGTGGGTAAAATTTGCGGCAGTGTTGTTCAGTATCCATTAACTCTGCCTTTGAAAAGGAATGGGGAAGGATGTGGGCTAAAAAGCTTTTAAAGTCTCAGGTTTTGCATTTCACAGAATCTCTGACCCGTGCATAACAGCTGTAAGATCCCGTTGGGAATTACTATATTTATGTTGCTCCGAGCATACTGGAACTGCATTCATGAGTTATACCCACAGGAAATATCATAAATGTAATTAAAAATAGAAATATTGGGTTGGTCTAAATTCTGTGCTGAAGGAAAGGAGTTCTGCTTTTTTTTTTCCCCTCAGTTCTGTCTGAATGAATAGTGAAGGAAGGTAGTTCTTGTGGAGTTCATTTAGGACAGATGTTTGAATACTGCAGCCTATTGTAGCAAAAAAGTCCTGTGGAAGTGCCTGATACATACATACATATATGAATTGTAGATAATGATAATCGCCTAATATTTGCAAAAAGGCCAATCCCATCTTAAGAGAGTGGAAGTTCCTACAGTTGGTGTAGTAGAAGAGGGATGATGTGGTCAAGTCTTACCTCCATTGAAAGGCTCCTTGATTCTTTGCTTGGAAAGAACATAGATGATTTGGTTTTGTGTGTGTGCTGAACAAGTCTGGTTGAAATACTTCCTGAAGAGTGTCCTCACTTATGCAGGTGTCTCAAGTTGTTTGATATGAGCAGACTGTATGGCTTCATGTGCCATAACATGCAGAAAAGCAGAGGGAAAAAAGGAGGAGGATGAAACAGCATGTTCATTGTGCAAGTAGACTGAGTTTAAAAGAAGAAAGTTGCAGGAGCTTTTACTGAGTTCCAGTGCCCAGAAACTGTGGACATGCTGCAACAAGGACTTCAGACTCTGAGCCCTGCACATGCTACAGCTCTAACCTTCCTCTGTCTGTCAGCCGGAAGCTGAACTTTAACCCTAATTTTCCGGGAAAGCCATAGACAATTCTGATACTGTTGCCCAAATGAAAGATTTCCTCCAGAGCCAGTCTCCATACAGCTCCTGCTTCCTTTTGGCAGCCCCTTCCAGCCCCACTCACACTGCAGCTCTATGCTTTCTCTCCCTAACCATGAGTAGACAAGGGTCCTCAGGGTTTGGTTGGATAATAGGATTTTGGAGGGCTGGAAAAGAGGTAGGATCTGTGTAGCTGGTGTGCCTGTTTTCATAGCTCATTCTTCCAGTGTGATTTAAATAGTAATTCCTTTCTCCTGTGAGCTTGTCAATTTTGCAGGTGCTGTTGGCAGAAACTAGTAATAGAGAAAAAAATTAAATTGAGCACATAATAAAGGGGTTTGTATGTACAGTGCATTGTTGTGGGGAACAGAGTGGTAGTAGAAGCCAGGGCTACTTTCTCATACTCAAGGAGAAACAATAAATTAAAGAAAAATTTGTGGTGGAGTAGAATGAGTGTAACGACCACATTAGAGCATTTTGTCCAGCTTGAATAGTTGCATAATTCCAGACACACTTGGCATAATATTCAGATGAGAAAATAAATACTTATAATAAGAGAGAATGAAAATATTAATGCAGTGTTTTGTGTATTCAGCTGACATTGATGTGTATGTGACATGAGGGCTAGAACAGCAAAAGGAGAAGAATGTTTGATTTCAGGTATAGCCACAGTAAATTGCCACTGCCCCTTTAATTTCATGGACATGAAGGCTGGGAAATGGGGAAAGACAGCAAAAATGTAGAAATGAGAGGTGACAGCAAACAGAAAGGAGACTATGCCTTAGAATATATAGCTAGATAGGCCATGCAGAACCCGTTTCACTGTACATAAAAGCAGAGTTATTGGAAACTGGAAGTTGTTACTAATGTTAAAGCAGACTTTGGGCTTTCCTAGTGCTAACCTGTGATTAGTTCATCCTTAGCAATACTTTCTTTTAGGTTCATAATGTTTTAATGTTTCCTTCAATGCCAGTGCCAGTTATATCCCACAGGTAAATCACAGAAAAAGAGAGTGAGCCGCAAAATGTCTGCGATAGTTTAATTTTCAATAAAACTGTATGTTCCTAAAAGCCTTTGTTTTCCTGTGAAATATCTCAACTCTGTTCAGTCGTAGGAGAAGCAAAGGGACAAATAAGTCCTCTTCAGTCAGATATTCTCTGGTTCCTTTGTCTACTTTGTTCTGTCAGCTGGGTCTAGTAAGGACTTGTCTACCAGGTATTGATTTGCAGTCACGAGTTTTCCATCTCCTTGTCTGGAGCACGTTATGGTAACCAGTTTCTCTGAAGCTTGTGGAATTGATCTCATCGTAACAGTGAGGTCCAGTCATTGAAACATCTCCAGAAGTATGCTGGTTTACTCAGATGGTGTGTCTTCATGACATCATGCTGCATTTATGCAACCGAGATGAATTCTAGTGCTTGGACAGGCTTTGGTCTTAACCATTTTAATTAGTTTGTTGGAATGAAGTTCAAGAGAACTGGCAAGTTAGTGGTGGATTTTTGCCAGTTACTATTTACATCATTCTTAAGAGTTGGCTGTTGCTGAAGGTGAGCCTGTTGAGTATTGAAGACGAATACAAAAATGAAGTAAGTCTTTCCAATTATTGGCACTACTAAGTGTAAAGACTTAGTAAGTGTGAAGTATAATTTGAGACAGTAATTACCGTTGAGTATTAAAGATGAATACAAAAATGAAATGTCTCAAATTGTAGGCGCTACTAAGCGTAAAGGCTAAGTGAAAGGCTAGCAGCCTGCATTAACAACACCTGCTAACTTCATTATTCTTTCCTCCATATAAGCTTAGTTTGTCCCCAAGCAGGTTTTGGAGTTCCTCTGTAAGATAAGAAATGTGAGCACGGCTGAACAGAGACAAAAAATTAATTACAAAGCAGAAGGGCATGACTTAAGGTGCTCTGGCAGGGGCATATTCCTCTTTCCTGAATGTATCATCTGTTTGTCAATTGAATGGCTTAACTCTGGCCCTTTTCACCCTTTTTGCCATGCATTATGAATTAATATAATCTTATGGCTGGGTATTACTGTGTTCAATACATCAAGGGCTTTTTCCCCTATTTTAAAATGGAAGAGGAAAAGTAGCAGATAACCATTAAGTTTTCTCCTATAAATGCAAACACATGTTCTTCCTTTCTTTCACCTTCCACCAAATGTTTCATGTATTTATATATTACAAAACTCTATTAGTCTCTTAGATTATATTTATTGTACCTGGCATTAAAGCTGTTGATCCAAGGCCCTCACCAGACTGTCAAGGTCTGTCCTTAAAGCCATGCTTAAAGGCTTGTAAATCAACTTTGGTTGTGATTATGGACAACTTGGAAGGCTTCCCAGAAAGGACCGGTCTAGTCAACAGTTACAAGAGATGAATAATGTTTCCATCGATTTTTTTAATCTGTTCCTGCAACCACTATGCACCAGACTTTTGGCACAGGAAGGGCTGGAAGCTGAGGCAAGCCAGGAGGTAAGGGTGACCCCACTGTAGGCAGTTCCCTCCCCAATGGGGCAGAGTCCCACAGGGTCTGAACATGACTGGCAGGGCCGGGTGCTAGTAACAGGGTCTGTTGGCAGTCTTAGGCAAGATGGAGCAATGAGGCTTCATCCAGGGGCTTAAAAGAGAGGGCTAGAGACAAAGGTACAGCATAGGCCCAAAGTCCACCCAGGAGATAGGGCTAAAGGCAGGACTGGATACAAGCTATAGCCTAAATCTACCAATCTACCCACAGCCTAAATCGATCCAGGAGATGGGGCTAGAGGTAAGGCTACAGGCAGCTACACCTGCAGCAAAGTTAAGGCAAAGAGCAAAGGCTCAAGGCCAAGTTTAAATAGGGGATTGCAGGACTGTAGGCAGCTTTATTTCACTGAAAATGAACAGAAAGGTTTTCCCTTGTGTGCTTATTCTGGCCCCAGAAATTCTTGTCATCTCTTGGATGGGCACTTCATTCCAAACATGGTGCTTGATGGCTCACTTATCTCCTGAAGACCTCAAGAACCAGTCTTGGTTTCTGTTTCAGTGGCAGGTCCAGAAAAAAAGTATAGTATGAAATAGCTGTCTTCAGCTGAATTTCAGGTAGGGTAGATTCCATCAGTGACAACACAAATGTTGACGCAGGCTAGAAGTATACCAAAATCTGTGCAAATAAAATGATCTTTTTGGAGCTGAACAGATTGTGCCTACACAGGGCTGCAAGGTCCATCCATCCCTTTTCTCAGCTGCTATCCCTGCCTCAGATCTGGCAGTGTTCACATGCCTTGTTAAGCCAATAAGCTCTTGTTGGGTTTAATTGTAGTCTTCCTTGTGCTATGGAGTGGAACTCTGTTAACCTCAGTTAAAGGGGAAGTTCAGGACAGGAAGCTGTTGCTCTGTTAACAAATAGATATTGGCTGATTTAAACACATCCTTAAATCTTCTCCTATCCATTCTGTGGCTGCTAAAGAGAATGAGAAATTTTCCCTTCTCCCTTGGTGACCCCCAGAAAATCTTCCTTGTATCTGAGTGTCTCTTTTGAGAAGAGCTAAGGTTTTTTGGCATCTTTATTAATACATGGTTGTTAAGGAAGGATGGAAGAATTCAAAAGAAATCTAAGTTTTTTCAGGTATTTAGTGCAGTATTAAAGTACCTCAGTAGTGATCTTTTGTTGCTAGTA